TCCTTTATCTCCCAAGCCACGTGGGAGCTCCGACGGTCGCGCATTCGGGCGCGACGATGCACACAAGGACTTAAGGCCCGGATTGATCTCTGCTCCTTACGAGCCTTCTTTCTGGCATGGTTTCATGACTGTAGTCCACAGAGAGAAGGGCTTTTTGCCGAGCTGTTTGGCCACATCAAACAAGTGCTCTGCAGCAAGGCACACACTGCAGCCCTGACAGTGAAACTCACTCACTAAGCAGCTCAAGCAAGATCGAGTCAGGGCGTTGGAGACTTTGGCCAAGGACACTCTGCATGCAGGCCAACGTGAAACTATGCAGATGTTCAGATCCATTGGGGTGCTTAATAGGAAGAAGCCCACGGGGATCAAACCCCTACCATTGCTGCTTTCTCCTGACGGCCGACCGTTGGAAACTGTGTCGGAAATTGCCAAGCACTGGCGGGACTACTTCAGTGAACAGGAAGATGGGAAGGTCACGACTTTCCACGATCTCTTGGCGACTGCAGATGCTCAGGCGCTCGAAACGGTGCCGCTCCCCACATGGCATGACTTGCCAAGTCGCTACCAGATTGAAGAGCAATTCCACCGCACATCCGCTGGCAAGGCTTTCTTTGCAGACGGCATCCCAGGGGATTTGTTGAAGAAAATGCCAGCGAAGATGGCTGAAGTTTTCTACACTCTGTATCTCAAAGAAGTGATCTACTTGCGTGAGCCCCTTTTGCACAAAGGCGGCTACTTGGTGGCTGCGTTTAAGAAAGGAGACGCACGACTGATGAGCAACTACAGATCACTATTTGTAAGTAGTGTTATAGCCAAGGCTCTCCATTCGATATATAGGAGAGACCTAGCACAAGTTTTCCAATCGCAGAGACTGCATATGCAAGTTGGAGGACTTCCGAAGCAGGGTATCACACAGCCGGTCCATGTCTTACATTTGTTCCAACAAGCGGCACGACAGAAGAAAACCTCCACGGCCTTCCTCTTCATTGATGTCTCGAATGCCTTCTACAGGCTGGTCAGAGAGCACATTGTCTGTGATGGTTCTTCCCAACGGACCCCTGTGGAACTTTTCCGGGCATTGAACCTTCCTGATGAGTGTTTTGAGGAATTCGCTGCGATGCTAGCTCAGCCTGCTGCCATTGATTCCTCTTCAGCACCGGATAGAGTCAAGCTGCTTTTCCAGGAATTTTACCGCAATACGTGGTTTGTTGTACGCAATGATCCAGCAGTAGTGCAAACACGACGAGGCAGTAGACCTGGTGACTCATTTGCAGACCTTTGCTTTAGCTTTGCCTTGACGAAGATCCTCCAATCGGCCATCAATGAGGTCAAAGATGTGTACCCTGAGCTCAGCATTGGCTGGGACGGCCAGGCCAGGCCAGGCCTTTTGCCATAGGACCTGCGACACACCAACTTGACCCCTTAATGCCCATATGGGCGGATGATGTTGCAGTTGCCATGGAGGACTACGAAGCGTTGGGCCTTTTGCAGAAAGCATCTAAGGTCTCGCAGATTATTCTCGATCGATTGCTGGCTGCGGGTCTCAAGCCCAATATGGCTCGAGGCAAGACAGAACTTCTTCTTGAACTGCGAGGCCCGGGTTCAGTGCAATTGCGAAGACAGCTGGTATAGAATGACCACCTTCTGCACGTTGCATCCCGTTATGGAAGTCTTGCACTGCACATTGTGGGGGCCTACCGCCACCTTGGGACATGGCTTCAGGCTGGAGGGGGTGTGCAACAAGATGTCCTGACTCGTTTTGCAATGGCCCATGATACTCTGACGCGGTTCCGCCCACAAATTTTTGCGAATAGAGGTCTGGGATACCAGCAGAAGAATTTTTTCACTAGCCTTGTTATGAGCACTATTGTGTTCAATTCCGCTGTCTGGACTCCCAGAAATCGTCGCCAGCATGCTGCCATTGAACACGCGTTTTTCCGACTCTACAGAAGATTTGCAGTGCTTCATTTTGGCAAAAGTGCGATTCAGTGGAGAGCTGACCGCCTATACCGCACGCTTGCAATGCCCAAGCCACCAGTTGTGCTGATTGTAGCAAGATTGCGATACTTGAGCCAATTGCTTCATAGTGCGCAACAACACACATGGGCAATGCTGCAACGCAACCCTCAATGGTATTCCCAATTGCAAGCTGATGTTGCCTGGTTTGACCAGTTCTGTCCTGAGAAGGGACTCCTGGACTCCTTTAGGGACTCCTGGGATGAATTTGCTCAGCGAGTTGGGGAACACCCAACAAGATGGAAAAACTGGCTTCGTGCTGCAATGGCTCGACATATTTCTTCACTGCAACTTGAATACGAATGGCATTGGTGGCACGGAGAAATTATGAAAGAGGTTCTTTTGCAAGGATACCACTGCCTGACGCGGCCGTGTCATACTGAGTCTGCACACTTCTGCCTCAAATGTCGCAGAACCTTTGCTAGAAGGTCGGACCTTGCAGTCCATTCTTTCAAGGTGCATCAGCGACTTCGTCATGTTAGGCTGTTTGTTGTCGGTGAACAGTGTGAGCACTGCCTCAAAATTTTTGACCAACACACGAACTTACTAAATCATGTGCACAATAATGCACAGTGTCGACTCTTCTACCAGCACAGAGATGTCCGAGTAGAGGCACAACCAGGTGTCAACAGCCGCGTGGCCAGACAGAGGCAGAGGATGCTTTCCAATCCCTTCATGCAGGCGGCAGGTCCTCTCTGTCAACCCCCTGTGCCGAGACACTTCCAGGATGAAGAGCGACAAGCCCTTTGTGCATCTTGGACAAAAATTCTGCATCAGACCAAGGACAGCCATGAACTTCTTGAAGAGCTGCGAATTGCAACCTGCCAAACCTACCTCTATCCTGAAGAAATTTTGGATACTTTCAGAGGATGGTGGGAGCAAGTTCTCGGAGACGAATTGGTTTGTATTTCTTGTCTTGCTGTAGGTGATGCTTTTCTCTTTCAAGCTTCCGGAGACTGGTTCCTACAAGGAGAAATTCAGATTCCTACTCAGCAGGCCAAGATTGATGCCTTCTTCATTCAAGAAGCCCAGAGTTTGCAGGAGGTGCACTTGTCGATCCCTTGCGAACCACGCTATGCTCCTTGTGTATTTGCACACCTATTTGCTGGTGCACGGAGAGAGGGAGATTTTCAACAACACCTTGAGCAACTTGGCGCTGTTGCAATCTCCATCGATATTATATATGATGTGACCTGGGGCGACCTGCTTCACCCCGAGACATTTCTGCTCTTCGATCGAGCCCACCGCCAAGGAATTTTGCGAGGTTTCCTTTAGGCCTGTTCGAAGCCGAGCACGACCTTTTGGCCTCTGCTGTCTCACACGGAAGGAGAGCGAGCAGGTCCTGATTGGCACCCAGCTCCTAGGAGTTGCCCTACGCTTGTTTGTTACGGCACTCCTTTCTGGCGCGACAGCGGGTATTGAGCACCCCTCAGAGCCACATGATATACCAGACTACGCGTCTATCTGGCGCCTTCCACTGGTTCGCTTCCTTCTACGGTTCAGACGTTGCCAGCTGATTCACCTGCTTCAAGGCCACTACGGAGGCCATTCGCCTAAGCCAACTTCCTTCTTGGTAGCGAATTGTGAAGGTCTGGAGGAAGCTTTGATCCAAGGTCGTACGACCTCTCTCCCAAAGGGAGGCTGTATAGGAAGAGACGAGTCTGGAGGATGGAAAACGAATAAACTCAAGGAATACCCATCAGACCTTTGCAAAGTCTTGGCTCGGGCATTCCTGTCGGCCCAACCTCTCACAGAAAACCCTGGCGACCTGCCAGATTGGTTCCTGCGAGCGATCCAATCTTTAAGAGCAGGGTTCGACGAAACCGCCCCTCGAGGCCCTGACTTTCGTCGAATTGAGAGAACGGGCAGTTGATGAACCTTTTTTAATTCGTAATTCATGCAGCAAGGTCTGCCACGGACGACTCGTCCTCGGCGTCTCGGAAAGAAAGAAGTGCTGTGAAGCGGAAGAAGTCGACAGCTCAGGATTTTTGTACCTTGCAATTCCCAAACAGCCCATGCATGTTTAATTAGCAGATGATGTCCGCCTGCCATTTCGTGGAGCCTGTAAGCAGGAAACCTAGACTTGGGGGATTGCAGACACATTATAGTGACCCCAAATAGATAGGAATAGTAGTGAATCCGATTTTTGGACACCGTTTCAACCGTTTCCGTCTATTTGGGACTCGTACTACACCATCTCAATTCTGAACCCTCAACTGGAGTCACAGCTCTCCCATGCCACCGTAGCATGAGAGGGCTCCACTTGGAATCAGTCCCGGAACCGAGCGCTGAGAGAGGGTGCAGCGATCTCGCTGTGGTGTGCCTTCTTTGCGCCGTGCCAGCGAGGAAAACAAGGTCGGATGAAGCTCGCATATCCATCCTCAAGGGTTTAGACAAGTGAATAGATGGCATGGCAAGAAGATTTGTTCACGGCTGGGTAATGGTTGCGAAGATGATTTTAAGGCTCAGATGCATTATTAATTGCATGACTTCAACAACATGCTACTACTGTTGATTCATGGAAGTCCTTCAAATCCATGCCCCTCAAAAGCACTGAAATGTTGTGGTGCAGCAGCAGCAGCAGCAGGAGTAGTAGTAGTAGTAGTAGTTGTTGTTGTTGTTGTTGTTGTTGTTGTTGGTTCTTTTTCACATCTCAGTTGCCCTGGACCTCCCCATGTCTTCCACCGGTTTTGTAGGATGAGCAGAGTACAAAGCTCATGTACTCTACCTCCGTGTCTTAGAGGTGACCAGAGTCAGAGGGTCATTCCAGGATGTCGAACATCTACCAAGTTTCATTTTCACATCTGAAAGAAGTGCATCTCGGGGGGCGAGTCCCGAAAGAGATGACATGAACTCGATGTGAAAAAGCACGTCGTCATATTTGGTGGGTTTTCAAGATGTCTCGGGTCCCGCCGGTTTTGGGACAGACGAGAGTCCCGACGCGGCGCGTTGGGCATCTGGTGCATGGATTTCGGGATGCCCAGGTTGGGCCTTCGCCTGCGGGGAGGACGCGTGGCTTTCCTCAATGCCTTGCATTTAGCATTGAGGCATGGCGCAAGGGCGGGAGGTTGCGTTAGCGCCGTGCTACTGGAGGATTTGCTGGAAGTTTTTGCTGCGGACTTTTTGCTATTTTGGGGGAAAACTTACTTGGAGCTTATGATGCTTTACATAGCACGATGTGTGGAGGAATGAGGTGAAAGAGGACAATTAGACTAAGACCCTTTGGGCCAAGGGGGCTTCCCAATCTAATCCACGGCCAATTGCTGGGTCGGGGCGACCGGTTCCTTTTGAGCCACTTTGCCTGATGGAAATTATCTTCTAAATCTTAAGGAATGACCATATGCAAAAAAGCTGAAGGCAGAGAAATCCACAGCGGGTGCAAGCGTTGGTTCGAGAGGAGGTTTTTATCTATCAGTCTATCTTTCTAAGATAAAACCTTTAGATATTGAGGATAGAACCTCCTTTTATCTATCTATATTGATGTTTGATCTTCAGATTTTAGCTTTGAAAAGCAGACGTCTCTAACTCTGCCGGTCCGCTCCCCTCTTTTCACCGGCCGACCGGCCGAAGGCAGAATGTCTTGACCGCCCTGGTGGACTCGGAGGCAGACATGGGATCAATTCTGCAGCCTTGAGCACCGCAGCTGTGCCAGCCATGGGGAGGGTGGGTGAATCCCTGATCTAGAAGGCTTTCTTCAGTGCTGTCAGGAGAGGAAGGGTTGGGGAGGACTTTGCAATTTCACGACTTCTCCTGAGCAGGGTGACACTTAGACTTTGCGAAATGTTGTACCATGTTGCACGCATAGCAAGTTAAACATGCTTCAGGTCTGGCAGGCTTGGGTGAACATGCATTCATTACTGCCATAGGTTTGAACCAACGAATGTTTTGGCTCAATTGACTTGGCCAAAATAGCGTTTGTTCTCTCTTTTTGAGGGCGGAACCCTTGGAGAGACATTTTTCTTTTTTGTGCAGGGAGGGACCCTGTTTTCCCATGAGCGATTTGGGAACCAGCCTTGCTGCCTACACCAGGTACCAGGTGATCCATGCCGCCGCGTGGATGGAGTTCAGCGCTCACCTTCAGGAGCTGGTTGCTGAGGGGCGCGAGCGGGACGCATTGCGCCTCTGGGCCTCCGTGGTGGAGTTGGTGCATCTGGGGTCTCCAGGGCAACCCCTCTCCATCGCTGGGCTCCCCCCGGTTCGTCGGTTCGTGTGCACTAACATGAGCCGAGGCTGCATCGTATGCTTTTGGCACGCTGAGCGGGGGGAACCCGCCTTTCAGGTGTACTCCTCCTTACTCTTTGGTCTTCAGCTAGCAGTGACTTCGTTCAACAGATACTCCCGCTTCATCGAAGCCCTGGGGCGGCGTTTGACCTACAGTCTGGTGTCACTTTACTTCGACGATGCCCGCATTACTGATCTTCAGTCGGGATTGGGCTCTAGCCAGCAGGCTTTTTGTCAGTTGAACTCCCTTCTAGGCACCCCGTTTGCCGAGGAGAAGAAGCAGTTGATGCGGCCGACCGGGACCTTTCTAGGCCTCGACCACGACTTCACGCACCTTCGCCGCGGATTCGTGACGTTTTGGGCTCGAGACAGGTTGATTCAGAAGACAGCTGCAATGCTGACTGAAGCTCAGGAGAACAATAGCCTGTCCTCAGGCCAAGCATCCAAGCTTTACGGCGTGCTCAATTTTCTCGAACAGGGCATGTACGGGAGGTTAGGATGCGCAGGCCTGGCAGCCATTAAGGCACGGCAGACAGAACGAGGCCGTGATCTTACCCCAGAGCTCCAGCGCAACTTCGATGTGATTCACTCCATTCTTCGCCATCGACCCTGTCGCGAACTTCCGGTGAGACCGTCTGAGTGCCTTCGATTTGTTGTTGCTTCTGATGCAGCTTTGGAGGAACCAAAGCAGGGCACGGGAGGCTTTTTAATTGTATGGCACGACCCGGAGGGACCGGTCCGAGAAGCCTTCATCGCCAACATCCCCAGGGAGGTTTACCAGCTGTGGGAGCCTGGTGACAGGCAGATTGCCCAGCTGGAAATGGTGATGATCATTTATGCCCTCACATATCGAGCACATACCTTTCGGGGTCGACGGGGCATTTGGCTGATCGATAACGTCGCCAGCCTCATGTGTTTGATCCGGGGCCGTTCCCACTCGCCCGATCTCGAACGCATGTGCGGTCTGATTCATGTGATGCTGTACGCCTTGCGGACATGGATGTACTGGGAGTACATTCCCTCCAAGAGTAATTGGGCTGATGCCATTTCAAGGTTAGGTTGGTCCGATCCGTGGTGGCGAAATAACGGATTCACCCCTTTTTCCGTCTCTTGCCCATTCTGTCTATGGCACCTTCCACTCCCAGCAGTGATCCGTGTCATGGAATTTCTCTAAGTGCGTTGGGAATATTTGAAGTGCATTGGGAGTGGTTTCCGGAGTGACCGGAAGGATATCACAAAGGTCTGATTGTGACAGGCCTGCTGATGCAGGTAACCCAACGCAATTATCCTGCTGGAGATGGCAGGTTGAGGACCACACTGGCAAGATGACCTGAGGAAAAAGAGGGAGTGTGCTGCCTACCGTAGCTACGATAGTCAACCTTGGACAGAAATGAATATATAGTCATGTGTTCAAGTATTACTTCGACCATAGAGTGGTCTCACCAACGGACAGTGCTGTAAGGAGAATCAGTTTGTGTCCAGTAGATCACAATTGTCACTATTTTTCTAAAAGAGGGAATCTATCGTGTGCTCCGGACTAGTAAGGTAGTATCTTGATTGGCTTTTGGTGTTGACATTTGGATCAAAAGGATTCAGCTGAGTAGGTAGCAACCGAAATGGCGACAGTACAACACGACGTTCGCTGCGCCTTCGGTATGGTACGGTATTTGCTCCGCCTGCGCATAGTTATATATAGCATATATAATCATACCATCAGCTTCAAGAACCTATAAAAATGTAGGTTGTAAACAGAAAGCTCGTCTCTTCAGATGGAGCACAGGAAAAACTCGACTCTTTGGATTTTCTTTTTTGGAATTCGCCCAAAACACTCTATCCTGAGCACCTGGTGGGGTCTCTATATAGTATAATATACTATGACATGTTCCGGCTCATGTTGGCTAGACATGGTTGTAGGACCATGCTTCGCGATGAGGCCGCGAAAGATCCGCGAAAAATATTTTTTTTCCGCGATGAATGGCCATTCCAGGATGAAAGAATATTGATCAACCACCATATAAATCTGTATACTTATGATTATATAAATCTTTGTAAAAATAGTAAATCTGTACATACTATATAAATCTTTTCCGTCACACAGACAGAGATTGCGCCTCGCATTCGCAGGCGAAACGCGCAGAGCACCAGTGGAAGGTCCTGCAATCACATCGCCTGGACACCGAGAAAGCCATAGCTACAAAGAGAGTTTCCTTCTTTTTTTTACCGAGTAGACGGCATGAGACGGTTCCCTGACCGATTAGCAGGGGGAGCTTGTTGATGTACCTTGACTTGGTGCTTCTTTTTTTCTCGGAGTGGATGCCAACCTTCGGTTGTTGAACGGAAGCTTCCTAGGGAAAACACACCTGCGTGGGATTGGACGGTTCAGGCATGCACTGAAGATGACCTCCAACAGACTGGACGGATTCTGAAAAGAATCAACCTCTACATACTCGTACCTCAGTTTAATTTAGTTGTTGGGTTTGACCACAGTTCTTGTTCCTTTGGAAGTTCGTCTCGGTCAAACATCATTTTTCTGGCTTTTGTGGGAGGGAGCTTCCCAGTTCGGCTGCCGGGATGTTGGAAGTTGGACCAGCTGAAAAATGACCAACAACCCACCAGATTCGACATTGAAGACAAAGATTCGGAACTAGAAACATCTGGCAAACGACCACGAGCGATGTGACCACGAGCCCTTCAGCGAGGGAGTTCCGTGTGTTGATCCGTTCGTGTCACCATGTCTTTCGCACCAGCGTCACTGCATGTGTGGCATGTTGGATCACACCCAGCCAACCGACCGCTGACACCGCGCCGTGGTGGCGGTCGTTCCTGCGGAGGCCAGCAGACCGAGACGGAGTTCATCGAAATGGTACCACTCTCCCAGAGACGCGCTGGACGGGGGAAACGGGGGGGGATGGGGATCACACGTGCGGACCCACCCGGAGTGTTCGGACCAACGCCGTTGGGCGGGGCGGAGAACATCACTGGGAGGCCCATCGGCCAGTGCGAACGTGGACATGTTGGGTCCCCTTTGCGAGCTCCGGGGGGAAGGGAAGCCGGTCGCAGCGCCCTTTGCGGGCTGGAAGGGGTCCTTGTGAGCCTTTGGGGGATCATCGCAGTGGTTCTGAGTTTCGAGACCTGATGTGGAGGGACTGGGTGCTTAATGCCGGATGGACTGGTGTATCTTCAGTGGAATGCTTAGATGGACGCCTCACGAAAAGAAAAGCATATCTACTAGGACATGTCTACCAGGAGTCACAAAGGGGTGGTGTTTAGTCCCATCCAGTGAGTGGATGTTCTGGGCACCACTGTCCTCCAATAGACATCCCTTTGGAACTGCTGGTGAGGAAGCAATCCATTTTCTTCATCCACATGTTGCCGGACCCGCGCACGCCACCCCACGCGGGGAAAGCGTCGCGACTTGATCGTTTTTGGGCTCATCCCGGAGAAGGAAAGCAAAGAAAGGCAGGGTCGCCTCCAAATCCAGCCAGCGAATGCAGAAGACACATGCATGCATGGTGCTTAATTGAACACATTGGATCTCGCATCCAATGTGTTTTTCTACTCAAGAACATCTTGATGACCAACATCCGTTGGCTTTGGCGAGGTGCAGAGACATACCAGTGACACCGGACGAGCTCGCATGCTGGTCTGGAGCTCAGGGGCCTGAAGAAATGTTTTGTGATCTGTTACTGTTACAGCTAGCCAGGGGGCAATGGACTCACAGAGCGGAGGTGGATGATGCTTGAAAAAACGGAAAGCAAGCCAACAACACGATGGATATACGAAAGGATAAAACGAAAAGAAAGGCTTCTTTTTGTTCCTCTAAAAGCGGTCAGTGTCTTTGGGGTTCGGTGCAATATCTCCTTTTGGTCGAGATATGATCTCACTCTCAGCCCCGTCCGGTGAACCGTTGTTCAGCGGTCCGTTACGGTGGTTCGTGGGGTCGATCGGCGGGTGGCACTGGAGTGGCGGGAACAGACCATGAGCAACTGAGCAACTCCATGGTTTGGAGTACCAGAGCGTGAGGCACATGTGTTTTGGATACTTTCTGGTTTGCTCTTGGCAATGACTCGAAGTGGAATCCATGTAGAGTGGATGGAACATGTTTGTTGTTTCATTCGATGCAAAGAGCGATCTCTTCCTTCAGGGCATCCTGAAGCACTCTTGGAAGAACTCCCAACAACAAGGGTGTACGGGAACCCATGAGAATCCCGGGAGTCGCAACCCCAAAGAGCAACAGCACTTCCGCGCAGCAAACAACATCCGTTGAACACTTGCCAGAAATCAGTGACATCACTGACTTGCATCCCTTTCACTTGCATCATGTTTGTCTTTGGACGATATCTCCATATCCCCATCAAGTGTCAAGACCCGCCCCGAGTTCCGGTTGAGACACCGGTCTTCGTGCCCCGGTTCCGCAGGAACCGAAAAGGAACCCGACATGGAGCAATACTCCCGCCCATGACGCTCCAAGTACTGTGCTTTGATACTATTGAAGCAGTGCTTCGGGTAAGAGAGAAAGCTGGCAGATGCACCTCTCTTTTGCCTGTTAATCGCATTCTATGATATTTGCTCCCATCTTGTCAGAGGAGGGGATTTCCTTCGGTCGGACCGGAGCCTTCTAACACTGGTTTCCTGCCCTCAAACAGAGCAACGTCCGGCTTCTCCAATCACAACAGAACACTGATGTGACATTGTCACTTGCAGAGAATGACAACTGGTCCAAGACCACAGGGGCCGAGGATGTGAAACGTCTTTGCTGGTAGGTAGTTATGGGAGACCACTTCCAGCAAAGAGTCCTCTATGGAGTCGAAGAAGCTTTTCTCTGCATGGTCAATGCCCGCCGCTTCGCACGAAGAGTGAGAGAAGAGATCCCAAGCTTCTATTGCGATAAATTCCCGGCCTCCATACGACCCGGTATACTCTACACGGCGCCTGTCTTGTTGATCGAAGGACATGGTCGAAGCGGATCGAAGCGGTGAAGATTCTCCGCGATCCGCATGCACCAGATAAAGCCTGATATTATTAGCAAGGACGCTACTAGGGTCTCCTGGCATCGCTACGACGGTCGTATGGAATTGGTCAAAACCACTGACTTGCGCCGGAATTGGGAGGGTTCCTCGCATAGAGCTAAAACGGTGGGTCCATCATAGATGGCTCATGAAATCAGATTGGTTGGTATTCCAGTTCTTCAACATCTTCACGAGCTTAGAAAAGCCAGATGTTATTCGTTTGTGGAGGAAGTTCTTCTATTTTTGGGCGATCTGCTCAATGTTGCGGGCTTCTTCCTGTTTGCTTCGGACATGAAGTTACTAAATGCTCCCCACAGAGTCTACCCATACCGGCATAAAAGGACAATTGCCATGAATTGTGTTCAAGAGAGGTGCCAAGTGAATACCTAACAGCCTGTGAGTTCTTGAAAGCAGAATTGCGTGGGGGAACCGATTCTGCCAGCTGTCAGCTTTGACTGTCCACCGCTGTTTCGAGGACGAGGTTGCTTAGGCAGCAGCGAAAACCCGGAGCAAAATCCCAGTCAGCTGGCCCAGGCGACTTGAGCTCTTGCATGAGTGTCGGTAATCTTCGAAGGGATATCGATGAACAAGAGCGCGGCATGCGCTTCGGGTCTAACCGTCTAACTTCCGATATTGCATTCTTCCTGGAAAGCTGAAACTTGGAGTGCCACACTGCCAAGTCGTCTGCCGCAAAGAAAGTCTCCTGCGCGTTGGTGCTATTGTCCTCAGCGACTTATGCTTTGTACGCGTGCGCAGGCAGCTTGCTGGAGTTAGTGGAGCGGGGCAGAATATAGACGTGCCAGAGAGCAGGAAGACTCAGCAAACCTGATTCCAGTTTCACTGACAAGATATGACGAGAAGCAACCCGCGCGACAGCAAGGCTTCCCTTTTGCCGACCTTGCCTTTACATGTGAATTCAGGTTTGACGTGGGTTCAGCGTTCTTCGCTGACACAAAATCTGCACCCATTTGCACCCCAATTTTTCATCTCATCCCGCAACGCTGGAAGAGTTTGCCCGTGAAAGCTCCTTGACAGGCTGAACGGTTTTTAAAGAGTGATATGTTGCACTCAACCAAAAAAGGCAAATAGCAGTCATGCGAGTCACTAATGGAAAAAGTAACGGTGGTAACCAAACCAAAACGGCATGAACATTGAACGCATGGATCCGCTTGTTGTGAGGCCGAATTGTTTTTTGATGGGCTGGCCCGAGAATGGTTGGATGGATCTTTGCTTGCAGCTCCGCGGCGGCAACTGGTGCGCACATACCTCAATAAATCCTAACCTTTCCCACTTGCTTTGAAGTTCTAAATTGAGCGGCGCTTTGGGGGTTCTAAATTTGATTACAACGAGGCCATAAAAGTGTTTGGAGGTTGAAATCCATGGTGCTTCCGAACTTCTTGGTTGTCACATTCAGAAGAGTGTGACTGTATGACGGTTTCTTTCTCCTTCAAAAAGAGGACATGTCACCTTGGTGTTTCACTGAAATTTTCAGAGTTTAGACCTGTTGAAACAGCAAACATGACAAGGTGCATAACATGATGCCATTTAACCATGGTTTTCTCTCGTCCATCTGCCCTGACTTACATCGCGGGAATTGCCTTATTTGAATTGAACCTGACCAATAGTAAACGCAACAACACACATTGTTGAGTGTTTCATGGTTCCTTTTGTTTGCAACACAAGGCGCTCAAGTAAGATGACGCCGCGACAGCATGGGCGTGCATATTCAAAACATGTTCCACAAGGTTGACACCACTTTTTCACCAGCTTTTAAGATCAATCATTAATCGGATGCAGACAGAACCTGGAGCCTCACGTCAAACTCGATGATCTAACGAAAACTGACAGCGCCACTGTGATCTACAAAGCTTTGCTTTTTCGGGCCTCCGTTCCTGTTTCTTTTTTTAAGGAATCACACCGCTCGACCAAACCTGGGAACCCACAGCTTAGCTAGTGCTCATTCCCACGGCAAGCTCCTCGTGCTCGCCCCCACGGGCCCATCGAAGGTGGCAGCTGAGATCCGTGCCCAGTGCTTGGCAGACCTGCCAGACGCTTCGGGCGCCGCGGAGCGCGCGTACCAGCAGGTGGGGCGTTAGTTGGGAAGAGGGAAGGGTGGCCGATTTTGCAAGGCAGGGTGAGCTGGGGATGAGGTGGGACATGAGATAGTTTTTCTGTTTGGGAGTCATCTGTTGTTAAGTGCCTATTTCAGGACATCGGTGATTCCTCAACATGAGGAAACCAATCACTTGCTTCATGCTGAAGGGGAAACCTGAAGCTGTGAGGGTGAAGGAAAGACAGAAAGGAAGATGTGCTGCCTCAGCATGACGAACAATGAGTGGAAGAAATGCTTTTGGTGCGCAACCCACGAAAATTGGAAAAGCGGTATTGAGTCTGTTGAATCATGTTGAATCTACAGACCTTCCGATTCCACATCACATGTTTGCGCTGTGCTTTCCAAGTGGTGGACTTGTTGATTTGAGCGCAGAGGAGTTCTTGTCCTAGATGGAAGGATCCTGTACATCCAGAAGATCCAACGAGTACACTCCAATGGTCCCTTGGAAGACGACTTTCCTTTTTACAAGCAGAAGGTTTTCCACTTCCATGTGATGTGTTCGTCGGAGGGTAGTTCAAACAGAAGATCGTCGGAGAAACTCACCTCCACGCTGACATCTCGAGCACCCAAGCTCGACGGTCGCTCTCTTGTACGAAGCCAATGTGAGTTCCAGAAATATACAATGTGAGCAGGCACATAGAGTTCCTGTTCGGTATAGAGAATGCTTTTGTCTAGCTGGTGGATGGGGTGTTTGTAATCATGGTTTGTACTTTATGGTTCTTTCAACTCTCAAGCTTTAAGCCCTGAGCAATCTTGGTCCCCAGCGCTTTTGCAAATGTGCGAATTGATGCGAGGCCTTCGTGGAAAGGAATTGGGAGGAAGTCATCGAGTGAGCTGGGCAAAAAGTCTTTTTCGCAGCAACTGGGTAGACTCGAAGTCAGAATAGAAACACCTATACTTCGAATGTGATTTTTTTTTTAATGAAGAACATGGAAAACGAAGAGCCTACTACCATCCTACTACCTCCTCTCGTCCAGGTATGTTCTGGATGTGAACGCCTACCTCCACAAGATCTTTTCCAGCTTGTTCGAAGATCGCAAGGCCGCAACGCATTGAGCCGCGACATGGCCGCAACGCATTGACTCATTCAATATTCGCGTGCTCGGTTCGTTGCATCAGGGTGAGATGGCTACACATGGCAGCGTTGAATAGCTTTGGGGCACTGAAAGGTCATGAAAGGTCTTTTGGCAACCCCCCACATAAGCTGGCAGGATCTCTTGAAGCGACAAAACGGATGATTTGCGGTCTTCTTTTCTTTGTGTGTGTCTTTAGTCTTTAACTACAGGTTCCCCCCCCAAAAGAAAAGACGCAGGAAGAATTGACATTAACTGATGCAACCGCCCTTCAGCTGTCCGTCATCGCTCTGGGACGCTGCTCTTCATGAGTCAGGTGGCCATCACCCGAGTGCAACGTCCGCAGATCGCAGCTCAGGCAGGGTGGAACGTTTTGTGTGCAGGTTCCGGCGGAACCTGTTGGCTTTTGTGAAGAAACCCTCAGCTTGTTGCCTGGAAGGTGCTTTTTGAGAGACTTGTGCTGTACCAGACCAGACCCAAATAGTAACAATAACAATCATGATCCGGTCTAGGTACTGAATCGATCCGCTCAGGTCTAACCATCCCGACATGGAACCAATGATACGCTTTCTTCCTCAACCTCCTAAGCGGAGTTGTTGGTGGTATACGCTTTCCAGCGATGCGTGCAGTGTGGGAACACCACAGGATGGGCCTCAGGTGGGTGGATGGCATTCCTCGTGACATCTTCCAAACTGGTGGAACATCATCGCATCAATCTGGACGTAGTGCCACGCTAGTAGTAACAGGTGCCTTACTAGTAGTAACAAGAAGCTATTAGTAACAAGTGCCACGCTAGTAGTAACAGGTGTTGTTCGTCATGTTCGAAGAGTCCGTTGCGAAAGAAAGAAAGAAAGACTCTTTGGGGCCTTGGGGTATGTGTACACGTGGGGAGGAGGATTGCCAGGCAAACGCCTGCAACGTCCAGGAAAGGTTTGTTCAGGTTCCACGTGTCAATTAATAATATGTACCTTAAGGACATAGCCGCGGCCCTCAGGCTGTCTGGGGAGTTTGGAGCTTCTCACTTTGCACGTGTCTTTCTTTAACACATTGGCTTTGGCAACACGATGTTTCTGCGGAAGAAGGAGGTCAGATGCATCTTCCTGCACTAATCGATTTGGATCATTGCCTTATATATGTTTCTATCCAAAAGGCTTTCCAGCTCAGAGCGACACGTGACCAAGTCAGTGTGGATCGAGCCCAGGTTGTTCAAGGTGACCTCCCCGAACCGTCCAAAGAAGTTGAGGAAAAACACTACACCTGTCCTCTATTCTAAACATGTTCAATCTCGTGGCTGGACAAGAACAGTTCTGCCAGGAACCCCCTCACTCCAAACATGAGTAAAAAAACCAGGCTTCACCACCACCCGAACTCGCTCGCCCTCACGAACCCGGCAGTTGGGCGGCTTCTTTGATGCCTTGACTGGAGCCATCACCCGCTGGGGTCGCGAGGTGGGCTTCGTTTCGACGCCGGGACGTTGGGACGCTTTATTCGGAGAAAAGGCGGGAGAACACGGCATAGGAAGAAGAAGAGTGTTCGGATGGATGATGAACATGTGCTTCTTCAAGAGTAGCTTCCAAAAACGATGGATGTGGAACAGGGGGATGGGTGTGAACGAAAAGCTTCCAAATCCGGCACGTGTAAAGCTTCAAAAGCGGCCCGACGCCTACATTGGAAGCGTCTCATCCTGGTTTGCTTTCGGACATTGGGAATCATTCGTCTTCATGTTATGTTTTTTCACTTTAAACAAACTAAAAAGACACAACTCTTTTCTAAAAGGACACTCGACTCTGGGCCACTGCCTTGTCTTCGAACGCCGGCGTCTTCGCCATGGCCTCGCCGGTCCCGGTCACCATCGCGCAGGGCCGGCGGCGGAAGCTTTCGGACTTCCAAGCGGCGCTCCGTGCACATGCGGCGGAGGTGGAGAAGTGTCTCTTTTTTTTTTGGTGTGTGTGTGTGTTTTCTCGGATGGAATGGACACTTCTGTGTGCTTTAATTTTGGATGATATGATGATGAAGATTTTGTGTGTTTTTTGTTTTAGAATGGAATGAATGTCCTTGATCTTTCATTTCGGATAGCGGTGATGGAGCTTCATCCGACGGATTTGACGTAGAACGATGGATTTGACGTAGCGGATGAGACATGTTCGGTTTCGGAAAGCCTGACAGTGCTCGGAAGTTTGCTTGCAGAAGGGTCTGGGAATAGCAGAGACTGGACGCTGTCAGCTCCTGCTGTTGGAGAGGGACAGGTCATACCATGATTCAAGGCTGTTTGGCATAGTCTGGCCCATGCGAGGAACAGGAATCGCAGCAAAAGGGCGACCCTTCAAGGATTTTGCATGGTAGGTGGACTGGCGAGGCTTGGCAAGGCATGTCACGCTGTAACATGGTAGGCGGGCTTGTTGAGCTTTGGAGTTCTTACCTTTCTTCTTGTGAGACTTTAACCCCCTTTTATTGCCGAGAAGGTTCCAGCAATTTCAAGGGAGTCCTTCCAGGCTCGGGTTTCGTGTCAGGCTCGGGCGGCACATCAGGAGCACCAGGCCGGAGAAGGAACTTGCCTGGCAGACCTGGGGCTCGAGTTCAGCATGGGAAGCTTCGGAGTGCTTGAAGTAATGACTGCAGGAATCCATCTCAGTCTTCCACTGAACACACCCCTTGGAAACTGCATTCTACTTCCAACAGCCCCTTTAACAACCGCAAGAGCATCTCAAAATTAGTACAAGGGAACATTGACCAAACTCCACCTTGGGAGTATCCCTTTTGTAAGGTTTGCACTCATCTCATACAGGCAGGCGATGGTGCACAATTTCTCCGGTGACAATCTTTATCCCGTGCGATTCACATCTGTAAGAAATCTGTCTTCCCAATGCTTCCATCAATCTGGGCACGGGCCCGTGTGCTGCCTGGAGGACCTTCTGCTTCCAAACCGAAGGTTGCGCAGTGAAAAACATTGCTGGAGTCCAATTAGACACGCACTTTCTGCATTAGTGTGTTCTTGTTTGGTTCATGCATACACTACATGCACACTCACCTCTCTCTTGCTTTGCAAAATAATGTATGTATGGACTATGGATATGTATGGACGGACGGACGGATGGACGGGCGGATGGTTGGATAATTAGTTGGATACTTATACTCTCTGCAAGTGACAAGCGGACTCTATAAACACCTGTGGCTGCCACAACCAAACCCATGTCATCTGGGACAGATCATGCCAACCCGTGAACCCTAGAAAAATTGAGAATTACCCATGTCATCTGTTTTGAGGACAAAGCACGCCACACTGTGAACAATAGACACATTGAAAGTGTCCTAAGTCATCATCTGTTTTGTGGTATGCATGTGACTTCGCAGAAGCCGATACTTAGACAAGCTCTTTCTTGCTCAAGGCTCTGGGGAATAGAGCCTGAGAAGACAGGAGGTTCAGCCATGTCGGAGTTTGCAGGGAGTCCCCCCTACAAGCGCAGACGGTACACATGCAAGTCACCACCTGTGCGGTATGGACTGCAGCAGAAGGAGCTCACTGGTCTTTCTTGTAGTTTCCTTTACCAAGAAGCTGCCTTTGCCAGCAGACCTACAGATCATACATGAGTATACAAACAATTTGTATACTATATGTGTTCAATATGCATATACTAGTCATACACATATATGTATATATTCAACCTGAACCTTCTTATCCTCTCCCTTGAGTGTTCTATGTCCCATGTCATCCTACCCTCGCACATGGTCCATGTGCAGGAGTCAGCGGAAGCAGTGCAGACTCCACAGGTGGTCCAGGTACCAGCGGAAGGAGCACAGGTTCAGCAGGCCAGGGTGCGTGGAGCAAAGGGCAAGAAAAATGG